GCACACCACATAATATACTTTTTGGCTAATCTATTAATTCAACAGTCTGCTAACCATCAATACTTGGCAGTTTTCATTCAGTAACGTTTGTCAGAATTTACTATCGATAGGAAAGTTATCTCCAGTCCCCATTTACTGTTTTTGTTCTCAATGTCAGTTTACTAGAAAAGAACTGTCTTTCAGAATTTTTCAAAGGGGAATATAATTTTCTGCTCGTTATTAAAAATGCGACATTTTTTGAGCAGTAACACCCTGGATTTGAACCAACAATTTCCAGACTGACCAGTATGAATGCAGTGTTATGAGTGCAGTAAAACTACCTAAATGTTGCAACATTCCAATATGGCAACTCAGATGCCAACATGCCTTTGGGGTCGTTCCCGTGAACGTCCTTGGTCCTATGGGAGTTTACTAGAAGGCTTTTAACTATTAGCATATAGTTGTCCTTTAAGTATTTTCTCCAGTTTGCAGTGCTATATTTTGTGAGCCGCATGATGCGGTCGCTACACATTACATCAGCATAGTACAACCATAAAATTGAAATCAGTCAATGCATATCCAAAAAAGTAGTTCCAACAGTTAGTTTATTGGGACAAACGATTACAGGTATCCGCTCTTATACAATAAAGATATTTAGTCTCTCTGCATCATTTTCTGTCTAGCCATCTTCTTTTTGGAAACCTTTTTCTTGGTTTTCTCCTCTTCATCTGGTTTTGCGACATACTGTTCCCTTTCTGTGAGGATAACTTCAATGTGGCATGGTGAACTCATGTAAGCTAGAAAATACAGAATGATACAAGAACTTCATCGATTATCCAATCACAACATGAAAAGCGAATCCGGGAAGACCGGGCTCATATTCTGTGTTAAAAAGTGGAATCTTACCACGATGTTGTCCACAAATATATTTATTTTAAAGCGAGAGGGTTGTCACCTGCGCATCCGCGGAAATAGAGTCCCAAGCGATGATAACACACACTAAAAACGCAAAGGCTCATGGGTAGACGCTTGTTTGTAAACAATGACACGCTATGGCCATCTGACGCATGCGCAGGTGATGACTCCCTCGCTTTAAATACATATGAATAATCACATGCAAAAGGAACCCAATTACCCCCAAAGAAAAATAAATGGCTTATTTATTTTCTCTTTAAGATATTTGTTTCCATTTTTATTTACACAAAAATCATGCATGTACCATATTTACTCTATTAGAAGCGCATCTCAAATAGTGGCACATACAAATCAAAACTAATTCAATGGTGAATCAATTCACTACCTATGAACTACAATTACCTACAACCACTTATCAGTCCGAGCAGTCTTCCTTTTTAAATACATCACAGATTTTAACACTAGAGGGCGATATGTGTAGTGGCAAACAAAAACCACTGAGTAAATCAACAAGCAGCCTGTCGGCTGAGATAGCTCCGCTGTTAGCAATGCACATGGCAATTAAAGAACAGAAGATATCATTATGAAATGAACAAATCTGAGAGAGGTCCACATGTAGTACCTATATATGTATAATATATCAAAGCAATTGGACTTGCGGTTTTCAACAAGAAGTCGAAAATATCACTTTTTACCAAAAATTACAAAAATATTCACCCAAATTAGAGAATTAAAGATATCATTACAAAATGAACAAATCTGAGAGAGGTTCACATGTAGTACCTATATATGTAATATCAAAGTAATTGGACTTGCGGTTTTCAACAAGAAGTCGAAAATATAACTTTTTACCAAAAATTACAAAAATATTCACCAACATTAGAGAATTAAAGATATCATTACAAAATGAACAAATCTGAGAGAGGTCTACCCAAGATACATATACACCAAGTATCAAAGCATTCAGGCTTGTAGTTTTCAAGAAGAAGTCGAAACAGTAAAACATTGACACGAACGACGACGACTGACAATCACTCATATGATAAGCTCCGCTCGACAAAGTCAACAGCGGAGCTAAAAAGGTCCTTTGTTTATAAGGTTCACAGCGATACAAAACAGGATACTGGACCAGTACTTACGATTGATGCGACCATGAGCTCTGTATGTCCTACGCCTCATTTTAGCGGCACGGTTAACTTGAACATGGTCAATAACGAGGGAATCAACGTCAAGGCCCTGCGAAAACACAAAAGATTTTATTTCACTTGTGTCTGATTGCTGCAGTCCTGGTAGCAGAGATATCCAAATATAAAAAACATTTGGGTTGTCAGTTTGACACACTTCTCGTAGCAGTAAGATGTTTGGTAAATTTAACCACTCCAATCAGAAAGACGCATAAAGCATGTACACATCGAATTGAATGAAATCTATTAAAGTATACACAAGCAATAGCTTTGAGGGAGCAACTGTCATGCATTACAGAAAGTTTACCTTGAATTCTGCATTGCTCTCAGCATTTTTCAACAGCTGTAGTAAAAATTCTGCACTCTTCTTAGGCCAACGACCCTGTGTCCAGTTAAATGCTTTCACCTATGGAATAGTGTACAATGTCGTGAATATAGCTCCCCATTTTTTGAGATATGATTGGACAAGACCAATTTTTTTTTTTTTTTAACACCACTGAATTTAAAAAAATTTGGAAATAATCAACTGTGTTTATCATGC